GAGTTGCATGCATGTAGAATTTTCTTCTAAAGCTATAATTCAATACAATTAAACTGTAGAATTTTCAAAACATGTAAAAAAATTAATTTGTTCACGATATATCAGTCCCATAATCAACATGAACTTATTAAAAAGAATACAAGCTCACATGACGCAAAAAACCACAGGTTAGATCAATACAATTCCCAGTAAACTAGTATCAGCAGTCTCTCGGATTGAATCTGGCGATTTCACTATGTCGATACTCACAACCAATTCCCGATTTAAAGAAAAACCAAACAAGAAGATAAAAAAAATTTAGCCTAGGACCCTATTTCACTTTTATTCTGATGGACTGAATATCTATCATAAAGAGTACTAAAAGTTTGATTAAGAAGAAAGAAAGAAAATTAGACGGTTTTGGTTCAAAACTAACACTGAATATCCAGATCATTGACATGCAGTTCCAGAAACATAAAAATTTCAACAAAAAACACACAATGCAAGCTGAAAATGGGAAAGTGCGAAAAAGGAAAAGTTTACTTCCGGATAGCCTAAAAGAAAAAATAAATACCTTCTTGCAAGTGAGGGGAGATGCTAAGAAATAAACGCAATCGGTGTTGCGTTCCAGCAATTCTTCTTCCATTTTTTCTTTGTAAATAAAAAGTTGAAAGACAGAACACTCTTGGGTTTACAATTTTACATGGTGGAAAATTGAAGAACAAAAACCAAACGAGACTTGAATGCGATGTTTGAGATTTCATTATATTTGATCATCTATTGAAAAATCTTTAAGCATAAGAATTAAACGAATAAATTATTATATGCCATTTATACAAAATAATTCCAGCTTTTTTGGTGACTTTCAACAATGATACTTAGTTCATCTTAGTAGTATTTGTCAACTCTGCATTTCTAACACCATTTTTTTCTCACAAGCATTTCATCGAACATCTATGCTTCACCTGAGATGACCTGTATCTAACATTACACCTTGAATCGTTGATGGTCCCGATAGTCCCTTGGTCGGATCTTCTCTCAATGAACTCTTATTCAAGTCAACACCTCCACATTAATTCAAAGTTATATTAGAATTTCCCATGCATCTCCGACTTAAAAGTTACGCTGGAAATGAGAAGAGAGAAACAAAAAAAGGAAATTCGAGATCGAAAAGCAATTTGGGGTTTATAATGAAATTTAGGACTGTGTTATAAGTTTTAAAAGTTGGGGACTTAAATGCAAGTGCCTGAAAAGTTCTGTGACCATATTGCAAACGTACTAACGGTAATGTAACGGCGTCAAACGATCGGTTACATCGGGGACCATATTACAAACAGATTAAATGTTGGGGGATCATATTACAAACGAACTAAATGTTGGGAGACTGTATTACAAGTTTTAAAAGTTGGGGGACCTAAATAAAAGTTTTAGAAAACTTTAGTGACCATTACTATACTTTACCGTATAAATAAAATAAAATAATTTTACTTTTGACCAGTTATGTGAAGGGTTAAACCTAATTCTCTTGCTTAAGGGGGGTCAATTGGTTCACGGAATGTAAGATTAACATTAAGAATGAGATTATCGAAATGTTATATTACTTAACACATTAGCGAAAATATTATATTATGTAATGTTATATTATATTGTTTGACATGAATGTAAGATTACAATGTTTAGTTGAAAAAAATGTAAAATAAGAAAAATGTAAATTTTACCGAATTGTCATTGAGATATATTTTTTAACAAGTTGAATTATCAATATTAAAGTTAAAATATTTACATGAAAGTTCATAGATAATCCAATTTTCTATTATTTTTAATATATATATATATTATAAATTATTACTCAAATAGCTTAATATATATTTTTATTATTTTTAATTATTTTTATTTCTTTAAAAACACATAAACATACTTACACCAATATAATTATGTGTTTATGTTTAAGTATCAAGATTAGGTATGTGCATGGAACCTGAACTCAACGAGTTCTAACTTGATCGTGTCAATTTTTTTTTTTAAAAAAATGGGTTTTGGTCAATTTTTTTTTAAAGTTATGTTCAAGTCGGGTTCAGATTTAGGGTGAAAAATATTTGACCCAACCCAACTCGAAAAAATTATAATTTTATCTTATATATTTAGGGATAATTACAATTATACCCCTATATAATATTTTCTTTCAATTAAATTCCTTTTTTATTCAATAAAAATAATATTTTTTAATAAATATATTATTTTGGGTAGGGTCAGATTGGGTGGATTGAAAATTCGACCCGACCCGACCCGACCCATGCCCATCCCTAATCAAGATATTGAAAGATGTGCATACTTATATCGATGTAATTTACACATTTTTATATTACTTAACACATTAAAGGGAATATTATATTATCTTGTTTGGTTTATTTGGCATGAATGTAAGATTACAATGTTCAGTTGAAGAAACATAAAATAAGAAAAGTATATATTTTACCAAATTATCATTGAGATATATTTTTTACAAGTTGAATTCTCAATATTAAAGTTAAAATATTTACATGAAAGTTTATATATAATCTAATTTTCTAGTATTTTTAATATATATATATATATATTTAATAAATTAGTATACAAATAACTTAATATATATTTTTATTATTTTTAATTTTTTATTTCTTTAAAAACACATAAACATACTTACACTAATATAATTATGTGTTTATTTTTAAGTATCAAGATTAGGTATAGGCATAAGAATCGAACCCAACAGGTTTTGACCCGATTTGACCCTACTAGGTCATTTTTTTTTTAAAAATCGAGTTTTGGTCAGATTTTTTTAAAGTTATGTTTAGGTCTGGTCGGGTTCGGATTTAGGGTGAAAAGTATTCAACCCGACCAAAAAAATTATAATTTTACCTTATATGTTTAGGGATAATTATAATAATACCCTCTATATATTATTTTTTTCAATTAAATCCCTATTTTTATTGAATAAAAATAATATTTTAATAAATATATTATTTCGGGTCGGGTCGGATTGGGTAGAGGATTTAAAATTTTCGGACCGGATTGGGTGGACCGACAAGATATTGGAAGATGTACATACTTACATTGATGTACGTTACACATTTTTATTTTATTCACTTACACCGGTGTAAGTACGTGTTAAGTGCTAAATTTTTTTATTTTATTCATGTTACATGTCTGAATTGTACAACGAAATATCATATGAAATTATTTGATAAAATTAATAGACATAAAAAATATAGCATAGAAAACATTTTATTATATGCATCATATTAATAAACTTCCGAAGTAAATATCAAACTTTTACATATGTAATTGTAATTTAATATCATAACATTTTAAGAAACGAGGGAGAAATCGACTGAAACCTTTTTTTTAAGAGCCTAGAGCATTTATCATAATTTTGATAACTTAGTTTAAATAATAAATGGATGGGTGATTTTGAAATAATTCTTTTATTTTAAAGGTATTTTAACAAGGGAATGACATTCTCGAGAAAATACCTAAAAACGTTGTTTTAGGGAATGCTCCATTATGCTCTTATTGAAGATATTATAAATTAAATATGAGTATGTGATTTCAGAAAAGATTATTCCCTCTAATAATATTTTTTTTTATGTGAACTCAGGATTTAGCCACTAGGACAAGATATCACATGTAATGTATGCATTAATTTTTATATTTAACTTTATATTACATTGCACGAATTAGACAACCTTAATAATATCATCTTTATCCACTAAAATTTATAATAAAAAAATATCACGTTTTAATCCCTAAATAAATAATTTTTTTTTGTAAATTATAGAATTAGAACCTGCAATACTTTGAAATAGTGTACTAAATCATACCCATTAATCTAGAATAAAATTATATTTCGATTTCATAAATTTAATATTTAGCTTATACAACTGTTAAATTAACGATTAAATAATCTCTCAATTTCATTTAGAAAATAAAAATAATTAGATGAGTATTTATATATTTTATAAAATTAATATTAAAGTATTTAAGAAGTAAATTTATGATAGAATTTTAAATTATTTAAAATATATTATAAAAATGTATTTATTATAAATAGTTTAAAATTTATATTTCCTTTTCATATCCCTATTTTCATAATATTTTATATTATTTACCTAAATAAGTCCCAAATCCTCATGAAACAATTAAATTTAAGATATATTATGTGTTTAGTATCTAAATTATCAATTTTGATCTTCTTTAGTACCCAATATTTCAAAAAAATAAAAATAAAATCATGCATAACATTTAATTTTTATTATAGTTTAGTACGCTGTTGTTAAAAACTTAATGCTTTTAGTACATAAATTATCAATTTGGTCCGTTTTAGTACTTAAACTTTTAATTTTTTCAAAATTTAACCTTATATTTTTAACGGGATACTAAAATAAAATAAAAATTAACGTTAGATATAATTTTAAAAAATAAAAATTAAATATTAAAATAGATCAAAAATTTATAATTTAGATACTAAAACTTGAAGTTTACCTTTAAATTTAGTAATATTAAAAATAAATTTGTAGAAGAACCAAAATGTTTTATGACGTGTTACTGTTGTGTAAATCGGCGCGTCTTTTCCGTAAATAAATTTAGTAATTTTTAAAAATGAAACCAAAATTACTTGAAAAAAAACAGAAAATTAAACCCAAAAAAAGCCAAACAGAAAACAGATTTCTCTGTCTTTTTAATGATAAGTAATTTTCTCGCATTCCTATCGGCTTTGATCTTTCTCTTCCTCCTTTTTGTTCTGTGTGTGTCTCTGTGTTTATTTTTTTCCCTCTCTGAACAGATAGAATTTGTGTTTCGGTTTCGTAATCTTGATTTTCAGAGGGGAAAATCCCACATTTCGATCACGGGTACTTCTCTTTCGCCTTAAGTTTACTTTCATTTTCAATCTTTTTTCCCTTATTTTTTTTTACATTTTCTTTTGATTTGTTGGGATTTTTGTATATTTTTTACTTTTGGAACTCTTAACAGGTGAAGAGATGAGTTGGAACTCTGTTCTTTTCCGAATTTAGGGCATAGGGCATAGTTTTATAAAATAAATAAAATTTGAAAGCCGAATTAGGTTGTGGTCTTCTAATTTTTGGTACATATATTTACGTAGTTGTGATCTTGGGTAATTTCGAAGGCAAATGGAGGAAATGAGTTGTTTGTTTTAGGGAAAAGGGTTAGGTGTAGGGGGAAATGACAGATTTTCAAGCTTTACAACAAAAACCGGAATCCTCTAATGATGTCAGAGATGAATTGGAAAGGGGTTTGGAGGAATTGATGAGAGGGCATTTAGATGATTGTATGTCATTTGCATCCTGCAGTTCTAATAGAAATCCTGATGATGAAGATGATGAGCGTGATCAGCTTGTTAGGAGGTCTGATCTTGAAGGTGATCATTTAGCCGAGTCATCCGCTGCTAGAAGGCTGGATTCTCGGATTTTGAGTAGATGGGCTGCCAGGCAAGCTCAGGAAATGATTACGACGATGGAGAGAAGGAACAGGGAGTCTGAATTGATGGCTTTAGCAGGTTTACATACTGTTTCGATGCTAGACTCTTCGTTCTTGAGAGAGTCGCAGCCACCTTCTTCTAGGAGACAAGGGGGGAATGTTGAGAGGCCTAGTACTCGAGCTTCTTCGATTTTGCAAATGTGGAGGGAGTTGGAGGATGAGCATTCGTTGAATAGGGCACGAGAGAGTGTGAGGGAAAGGTTGAGGCAAAGCAATGCTGATAATAATACGACAGTGTCTGGTACAACTTTGTCTGAGAGTCGTGGGAGCGAGAATCATGCAAGTGTTGGAGATGTGAGTGAGAGTGAGAATGAGTATGAGTATGGAACATGGTCGCATGATCAAGGTGTGTCACAGAGTGATCGTGGGGATAATAATGGGTCTAACAGGGAGCAATCTCCTGATCTTGGCGAGGTAGAGAGAGAAAGGGTGAGGCAGATTGTTCGGGGGTGGATGGAGAGTGGGATTAGTGAACATTCATCCAATGTTACCCAAAGGGCCGGCAATCCTAGAGCTGAATGGCTTGGCGAAACTGAGCGTGAGAGAGTTAGAATTGTCCGGGAGTGGGTGCAAACGACTAGTCAGCAGCGAGATGAAGGCCAACCAGAGCATGTTCGGAGGGACTTGAGGAGGTTACGTGGAAGACAAGCTGTAATCGACTTGCTTGTGAGGATTGAAAGAGAAAGACAGAGGGAACTTCAGGGTTTGTTGGAGCACCGTGCTGTTTCTGATTTTGCTCATCGCAGCCGCATTCAGGTTAGCTGGATATCATGAAGTTTGTGGTTCTTTAAGATGGTACTATCTCCCATTTATTTGTACATGTTGCAATATATTTCTTTCTTTTAAGGAATTATATTCAGATAAGCTGTGGATGTTTATTTTTTAACATCCAAGAGAATGTGTTCTTGCTAGACCTGATTAAAATTGCTATATCGGAGTACAAGTGAAAGTAACATCGTTTATTTCCAGTAAATATTTATTAAAAAATATGTTGGTGACTGCACAATCTCACATCTTGTCACGATGTTAATATTATTTTGTGTTCTCATTTTGCGTAGTGAACGGCCTTTCTATCTGTATTTTTATTTGCATATACAACTATGCTTACTTACCATGCTTTTAACTTGGTAGACATTACTCAGAGGTAGATTCTTACGAAGCGAAAGACCTCTTGAACAGGAACGATCATCTACAATTGCAGCAAGTGAATTAATTCAGTTAAGCGAACGAAACACCGTTTCTGGCTTGAGGTATGAATCTTTTCCATTCATTCTCACAATGAAGAAGTTTTCACTGTTAATAAAAATGTTTTAATTGTTTTTTAAGGGTACTTTGTGTGGCAATAATGTTTCATGATGAGGAACTTTGCACATGTTATACTCCATATAACACAAGACGCTTTACTTGAATAATACTTGGGATATGGTGTTTAGGATTGCTAATTTTATTATGTTTTTGTTGATGAAATATGGTGCTAGACCTCGTGTATTGATCGATAGCATCCTCCTATTCATGGAAAATTGGAATAACTTAGTTTGATTTTTCCCCTTTTGTGCTTTTTGGTTTGAGAAGCATAAAAGTAGATATTGCCTGTAAACCATGAGAGAAATGTGCTGTGTGATTTTTTTTATTGCAGTTCATCTACCTGCAAAACTCTTTTGATCTTATTCGAGCACAAAACTCTCCGACTTGTACCTTCATTTCCATAACTGCCAATTATTTTACTATTCAGGGAAGGACTCCATAACAGATTAGCAACAATTGTCCATAACCAATCTGACGACAATTCTGAAACCACATCTAGCAATGTTATCAATGATTCTAGAAATGAACTTCCCCAAACAAACATGTCACCTGATGTCCAAGGTGAAAACAATGAGTTTGCACGATTTAGGAGTTTGGAAAGTGGCATTATGGAGTTGCCTAATCAAACAGGAGATATGGTTAGCAACATGGCTCTTGAGAGCATAAGTTGGCAAGAAAATGCTAACCAAGGTGGGAATTGGCGGGAGCCGGCTGCCAATGATGGAGGAGGAAACTTGCAACAACCAACATATCATCAGTTCAATCAATGGAGAGAGGGTGATACGGAAGTAATGGATACAAATTGGCAAGGAAGTTCAGTTAGTGAGCATCGCCAAGACAATCCTGGAAATGAAAACAGAGAATTGAATCATCAAGAGGAAGCCCAGAGGGATTGGCATGTGGACCGCTCTCAAGAAGCTGTTGATACTTGGTCAGAAGGGCCTTCTTATCCTCGGAGAGCACGTCGCACAATCCCAGTTAGGAGGTTAAATAGATTTCTCCCACCTGAAGATGATAATCTGTATGGTATGGAACTTAGAGAACTTCTGAGCAGGTATGTGATCACATATTTGGTTTTTTACTCTTTAACTTAAAATAGTTCTTTGAGGGTTGATTCAATTTAATTTGTAGGAGGAGTGTCTCTAATCTTCTTCGAAGTGGTTTCCGGGAAAGTCTAGACCAGTTAATACAGTCTTATGTGGAAAGACAGGGTCATTCTCCCATTGATTGGGATCTTCATAGAAACTTGCCAACTCCGGCCTCCCCAGAGACTGATCAAGAGCAGCAGAGGGGTGAAACAATTGATGATCAGAATGATGCTATTAACAGACCTTCACTGGTGCTACCTTCTCCTCCAGTGCCACCACCACAGCCACTGTGGCATCATGATTTACTTCACACTAGATGGTCTAGGCACAACATACATAGATCAGAAATTGTAAGCCATCTTTCTTAGCCATGCAACCCTATATTACCAAGACTACTGAATCTGATTCAGTTTTGTTCTTCATAGAATTCTCTGTTATTAAGTTTTCCCCAAGAATTGTCTGTGCCGAGGGTGAAATCAGTCGTAATAATCAATTTCAAACAGAACTCTTTAGGCAACTGAAGGATTTGATAATGATGATGCTTTTTATCAATTTCAGTTGTCAGCCTTGGGTAGTTCAATAGATGCTGCATATTCTCCCAAAAGTGGCCTAGATCTCTTATTTTTCAGTCCCCGTACATTATTCTGCATCTTTTTCTCACGAGGCTTATTTTCAGCAGGAATGGGAGATGATTAATGATCTTAGAGCTGATATGGCAAAACTCCAGCAGGGCATGAGCAACATGCAGAGGATGCTGGAAGCCTGCATGGATATGCAGCTGGAGTTACAGCGATCTGTCAGGCAGGAAGTCTCTGCTGCTCTGAATCGTTCGGCTGGTGAAAAAGGTTTTAAATCCTCCCAACTGTTTTCGTTCCTGTAGAAATCAGAGTAATTCTCTGTAATTTCTTATTCTTTTCAATATGACAGATTACATATTTATATACAAAATCTCTCTAAAGTAGGAAACTCTAAGAAAGGAAAAATAATAATCCTAGGATATGATCCCTTAAAATAAGGGATTGTAGAAATCTATTTACAAAATCATATCTCTATAGGAATGGTAACAAATCATCTCTATAATTCCTACACTCCCCCTCAAGCTGGAGAATATACATTGTATAATCCCAGCTTGGATAGGAATTTATTGAAAACAGGCTTTGACAAAGCCTTAGTAAGAATGTCTGCAACTTGTTCTTCTGAAGGAATGTATGAAAGTGTGGTTGTCTTTTTGTTAACTTGATCAGCAATAAAATGCCCATCAATCTCAACATGCTTTGTCCGATCATGTTGAACTGGGTTCTTGGCAATTTGAATAGCAGATTGATTATCACACAAAACTTCAAAGTGATCCTCTTGATTAGTGACAAGTTCTTTCAGTAGTTTAAGTAGCCAAATTCCTTCGCATATTCCCAATGTTAGTGCTCTAAATTCAGCTTCAGCACTACTTCTTGAAACGACAGATTGTTTCTTACTTCTCCAAGTTGTAAGGTTTCCCCAAACAAAGGTGCAGTAGCCACTAGTGGATCTCCTTTCAGTAAGGCCTCCGGCCCAACTAGAATCTATAAAGATCTTAACAGTTTTGTCTTGTGCCTTCTTAAACATTAAACCGTGTCCTGGAGTTTTCTTCAAGTACTTGAGAATTCTATTTGCTGCTGCCATATGCTCTTCAGTAGGATTAGTCATGTGTTGACTTATCACATTTACAGGAAATGCTATATCTGGCTTTGTCAAGGATAAATAAATTAGTTTCCCAACTAATCTTTGAAATTTCTCTTTGTCTACCAAGGACCCATCTTCTTTGTTAAATTTCAAGCTTGCCTCCATTGGTGTATCAATCGGCTTACAACCAAGAAAACCAGTTTCTTTGAGTAAATCAAGAACATATTTTCTTTGGTTGATCACAAGTCCTTTTGACCTTGCCACCTCCATTCCTAGGAAATACCTTAGCTTTCCCAAGTCCTTGGTTTCGAATTTCTTATTTAACAACTTCAAATTGCAAATCTCTTCTTCATCATCTCCGGTAAGAATTATGTCGTCCACGTACACAATAAGGATAGCTTTCTTATTTGTAGAAGTTACCTTGATGAAAAGAGTGTGATCGGCGAGGGATTGCTTGTAGCCGTTTTTTAGGATGACTTTAGTGAACCTCTCGAACCAAGCTCTGGGTGATTGTTTTAACCCGTATAGAGACTTGTTGAGCTTGCACACCTTGTTACTTCCTTCAATAGACTTTAAGCCAGTTGGCAACTTCATATAGACTTCTTCTAGCTTGCCATTAAGAAAAGCGTTTTTTACATCAAGTTGGTGTAATTTCCAATCGCAATTTACAGCCAAACTTAGGAGTACTCGAACCACAGGTGCAAAAGTTTCTGTGAAATCTATCCCATATGTTTGTGTAAAGCCTCTGGCCACTAGTCTCGCTTTGTATCGTTGGATGCTACCATTTGAGTTATACTTTACAGTAAAGATCCATTTACAGCCAACAGACTTTTTTCCTTGAGGAAGGTCCGTAACAGTCCAAGTAGTATTTTTCTCCAGTGCACAAATTTCCTCTTCAACAACCCTTCTCTATTTTGAATCCTTTAGAGTTGCAGCTATGCTTGTGGGAACCTGTTCTTTATCCAAGTTTGCTGTAAATGCTTGAAAAGATGGCATCAATGAATTATAACCAGCAAATTTTTCAATAAGATGCTTGGTGTACTGTCTAACCCCTTTTCTAATAGCAATAGAGAAGTCATCTAGAGTAGGGGAAGTGGACTTACTGATTTCTTCTTCTATTTCGGCAGCTGGACCCAAATCCAATTCTCGGCAAGCATCAGATTGCAAAACAGCCTCAGGAATATGTTTTCTTTTCCTTGTATAGAAACGGAGTTGTTTGATTGGTGGTGTTTATGGAATATTTTGAATAGGAGTAGGTATATTTTCAGGAAGGGTATTTAAAGTAGGTATGTGTGAAGTAGTGATGGGTACTACCGGTGGATCAATGGGAGTAGTTACAGGTTAAATGCTTGAAAAGATGGCATCAATGAATTATAACCAGCAAATTTTTCAATAAGATGCTTGGTGTACTGTCTAACCCCTTTTCTAATAGCAATAGGGAAGTCATCTAGAGTAGGGGAAGTGGACTTACTGATTTCTTCTTCTATTTCGGCAGCTGGACCCAAATTCAATTCTCGGCAAGCATCAGATTGCAAAACAGCCTCAGGAATATGTTTTCTTTTCCTTGTATAGAAACGGAGCTGTTTGATTGGTGGTGTTTATGGAATATTTTGAATAGGAGTAGGTGTATTTTCAGGAAGGGTATTTAAAGTAGGTATGGGTAAAGTAGTGATGGGTACTACCGGTGGATCAATGGGAGTAGTTACAGGTGACAAATCTGTAGGTAAGGACAAAATTGGTGGCAATTCTGAAGGTTGAGAATGAATAGTAGGAGATACCTGATGTGGCTGAAAATTCTTCCATGTCTCTCACTGAATTTCAGCCTGAGTGAAATAGGGATCCTGCTCATAAAATGTTATATCCATAGTGGTAAAAAATCGTTTTGAAGGAGGATGATAGCATTTATAACCCTTCTTAAGTGAAGAATACCCAACCAGTACACACTTTAATGATTTAGGATATAACTTGGACTTATTAGGAGCAATGTTTTGGATAAAAACAGTACAACCAAATATTTTAAGTGGAAGAATGGAGGAGATAGGTTTAAAATAGGGAAAGTATTGTAAAAATATAGATTGAGGTGTTTGAAATTGTAAAACCTTACTAGGCATTCGATTGATTAAATATGTGGTAATAAGGTTTTCCCCCACAAATATTTTGGAACATTAGTGGTAAATAGAAGAGAACGAGTAACTTCAAGGAGATGTCTATTTTTTCTTTCGGCAATACCGTTTTGTTGTGGGGTGTCAACACAAAAACTAATCTGAACTATGTCCTTTTCCCTGAAAAACGCACCCAAAGACTTAGAAAAAAATTCACTGCCATTATTAGATTTAAAGAGCTGAATTTTAGACCCAAATTGAGTGAGAACCATGTTATAAAATTGGGTAAAAACACTTGCAGTTTCAGATTTATCTTTTAGCAAATAAGTCCAAGTTATCCTACTGTGATCATCAATGAAAGTGATAAACCACTTACAATTATCAGCATTCTTCACCCGAGAAGGACCCCAAATATCACTGTGGATCAAAGCAAAAGGGTGAGAAGACTTATATGTAGAAGGAGAATAAGTTGATTTAGTGTGTTTGGCAAGAGAGCAAACTTTGCAAGAAAAAGAATTTGGCTTTTTATGAATGAATAGAGCAAGAAAAACTTTTGCAAGATAGTGAAAACTAGGATGACCTAAACGATAGTGCCAAAACATAATATTATCAACTTTTTCTAAAGCGGTGAAAGATTTCGAGATTTCGGTTTTAGTAGAGGCAGGAAGAATGTAGAGACCATTCTGCAAGCTGGCCTTACCAATCATCTTCTTCGAGTTCAGTGCCTGCAAAGTACAATCAATATCATTAAAAATTGTAGAGCAGTGCAATTCGATGGAAAGTTTACTAACGGAAACGAGATTGCAAGCCAAATTTGGTACGAAGAGGACATTTTTAAGTACAATCTGGTCATTGAGAATAACAATGTCATGTCCTTCTATTTAGCACAAAGAACCATCAGCCGTTTTGACAGCTTTACCAAAGTTTGGAAAAAAATTGCAAAACAAATCCTGATTACCTTCTGATTGAGCAGCAGAACCAGAAAAATTTTATGGATTTGAAGTGATCTCCGGAGTAGGAGAAGAAGCTGTTGACATCATCTAGATTGGAAAGAAACCGTAACCTAAGCTGATACCATGTAGAAATCAGAGTAATTCTCTGTAATTTCTTATTCTTTTCAATATGACAGATTACATATTTATATACAAAATCTCTCTGTAAAGTAGGAAACTCTAAGAAAGGAAAAATAATAATTCTAGGATAGGATCCCTTAAAATAAGGGATTGTAGAAATCTATTTACAAAATCATATCTCTATAGGAATGGTAACAAATCATATCTCTATAGGAATGGTAACAAATCATCTCTATAATTCCTACAGTTCCCTCAGTATTTTTAGGATTCTTTTATTCATCAGGTAGTTTAGCTTGTTTCTGTTTTTATTTTTCACTTCCATTACAGTTTTGAGTGCAGAAACATCAGAGGATGGGTCCAATTGGGGTCATGTGAAGAAAGGGACATGCTGTGTCTGTTGTGATAGCCATATCGATTCACTATTGTACAGGTTTACATTCTTAACTTTTCCATGTCTTCCCATTTTCGATGCCTGATTATATATCACAATCTTGTTTTTTGGCAATTTAAAATTATCGATTATACAGATGTGGACACATGTGCACTTGTTCAAAATGTGCGAATGAGCTGGTTCGTGGTGGTGGAAAATGCCCATTGTGTCGAGCACCTATCGTGGAGGTAATCCGCGCATACTCAATACTGTAAAGAGATGAAAGAAGAGAATAAGAATTAACAGAAAGACTGGTATATATATTATATATAGTTAAAAAGGCTCCTCAAGATGTAGAGAGTCCTAAAGTTTTGTTTGTTACCTGTTTCTCTGATTATATGTAGAATGCTGTGCAAGTTTATAATTGGAAATAACAATTGGCATCATTGATTCATTCATGCCTAAATAAAATGTTTGTCAACTATTTCTTTTTTTCCTCCTGTTTTTCTCCTTTCCATTGTGAATATTTATTATTATTATTATTATCATCAATTTCAATATTTTTAAAGAAAAATCAGTGTAGTTTTGTCACAAACAGTGCAAGTACTTGTGAGATGTCTCTACTTAAATACCTGTTACATCACTTTGCTTTAAATGGTCACGAATTGATCGTGTGGGTTCATATATATTTTATATTATATGGGTTAAGATTCGTTAACACCTAAAGTGCGTTTAGTTCATGAAATGTAAGATTATCAGTGGGAATAAAAGATTAACAGGGAATATGATTATCGGGAATGTTATATTTTGTGTTTGGTTGGTTTAACATGAATGTAAGATTACCGTGTTTAGTTAAACGAATAAAAGATTATTAGAATGTATATTTGATCAATTGTTCTTATTATATATATTTTTTTAACAAGTTGAAAAATAATTATATATTTTTTTAAAAAAATTTAAATTCATAAAATTTATATAATTTTTTTTACAAAATTGAAAATATAAAAAAGTTTAATGAAAGGGTAAAATTTTATTTTAATCACTGAATTTTATATAAAATTTTAATTATAGATTATTTTTTGTAAATCTAAAATAATTTAAGGATAAATTTGTAATTTAACTTTCATAAAATTGTTATTATTCAATAACAGAATAAGAATATTTTTTAAAGAATTTTTTAAATGTATTTTAGTCTAAAACACCGGTAATCTAACAATACCTAAGGAAATGTTGGTAATGATATTTCTGGTAATATACCTAAAAAAATCTACTATTGATAATATAAAATTACCGAGAATGACATTCCCGACCAACTAAACGGGAGAATGTGGATTTCATTCTTATAGAAATCTCACATTCCCCTAACTAAACACACCCCTAATATAAAATTGAAAATTTTATATCCTTTTAAGATCGTTAGATGAGAGAATATCGAAGATTGAAATTAATTTTTTTATTTTTTTTCAATGAATATCTTTTAATTTTTTATTTTTAATTTTAATCTTTGATTTTCTTTCATTTAACTATTCTAAAATAATTTATACTATGTAATTGGATTCTGATCCTGAAAGTAGAGGCATCAAAATCAAAAGGCCCACCGAAGACCGAATTATGCTTGCTGTCATCTAAAAATCTCACTTTCGAGAGATTCAATTCATCAAATAGATAAAAATCTAGTCATAATAGAATCCAGAAGACAGATAAATTTTGAGTTGTTTAAGGGATGTCTCCGGTTTTAATATACGGCTTAAAAAATGTTATTAAAAATATTAATATTTTTTTATTATTTCCGGTAAAATGCTACATTAAATATTATTTTTTTATCAAAAATGTTAATATTGATGTTACCTAAAATATTTAACATTTTCGGTAAAGCATTACCTAAAACATTATTTTTTTATCGGAAATATTAATATTAGATTATACTGAAAAGTAGTTAGTGAAATTAACATTTCTGATAAAAAAATAATATTTTAAGATACGTTTTACTAGAAATATTAAAAAATATTAATATTTTTATAGACCATTTTCTTAACCGTATATTAATGATGTCATACAACTATCCTTTTTAAGATTTGTGTTTTAGATAAGTTTTTAAATCGCAGTCAGTGGAGTAAATCGAATCTGTGTTTGATTAGAATATTATTAATTGTAATGAAACTACAATTACTTATTCACCCTCAAATGTTAGTCATTTAAATGGATAAACTACACATTTAATATCTCAATTATTAATTTTTGACTTTTGTTCTGTTTTAGTCCTCTAATTATATTTTTTTAAAATTATATTTAATATTACGTTTTAGTTATATTTTGTTCATTTACTGTTAAAAAATAACAAAACTGTTGACGTAATATTTTTTTAAAAAATTCAATGATGATGTAACATTAATTTATGATGACATGTCAATATTTTTTTAACGATAGATGACCAAAATAAAACTAAAACGTAACATTAGACATGATTTTGAAACAATAAATAATTAGGTTACCAAAATATAATAAAAATGATAATTAGGGCACTAACCATGTAGTTATCCTTTTTTTTAAATTTACTTGTGCGAATGCGGATAATAGAAATGGCGTGGACTCATCAAAGTTGGATATTTAACTTTGACTCAAATTTATAACATTTTTAATAAATTTGCAAATTCGGATTCAAGTTTAATTTTACTCGGAATTATCTTTTCGGATAGTGAATATTTCACGGAGTACATAACATTCTAATCCTCAAATGATGTTATTTGTATATGTTATACGTATCTCTGTATATTACAATTAGTTTTCAAAAAGACCCCCCTGATGTAGGACCAATAAATTTGTTGCACTGTTTTGCTTAGTGAATGATCTCCACAGGACCATCCGAAAAATTACATGGTGGGAGTTGATAAGTCCGGTGTCGGAGGCCGGAGCCGGAGCCGGAGCCGGAGAAAGAATACGACCAAACATATCCTAGAGCTGTCAGAACCAGCGCTTTCGACCACTAGCAGTTCTAAGCTGCATCACGAGTTGCTCCCGCTGATCTTCTACCTCTGCATATTTAAGGCTCATGTGTAGGTACCGTTCACGTAGATCTTTCAGCTCCGTCTCCAGTGCTGATGTCTGGCAGTTGCATCCATCTTTTCTTGCAGCTCCTTCACCTGTCAGCTTCTCCGAAGCAGCAGCTTGGTTGAAGGGTACTTCTTTGGATAACAAACTGCAGTCAAGCACAGTACGTAACGACCATTAGCGTTCATAGGTACGTCTCGATTCTACACATTCTGATATGGTGATCCACTTGGGAGCATATGAACAGTTTAAAGTATAAGGCTAATGTTCCACTACCCAAGAAGAAGCTAGAGTATAGAATTAGCATCGGCATAACCTTATTCTGATTCGGTGCAAGAGCAAATGATAAATCTGAATGTTGAAATTGAAAGGGTAGAGGGAAAGAAAGAAACGGTTTGAGGCTGAAGAAATTCTGATTATCGGAATATTTTAGTTCGAAGGCCTAACATGAGGTTTTGATCCTTTTTATCAGATTCATATAATATAGTGCAAAGAATCTGGAAATCTTGTGTTATAAAACTCATCCTTTTCATCATGATTCAAATTCATAGAAACCAATAACGACTAACCGAAGAAGTATGTGACTGCACAACGTGAAAAAGAGTGACAATGTAAGAAATGAACACCGAAAATATGTAATGGGAATTCCATGTTTACTAAAATGTAAAGTAAATAAAGAATGTATATACCATATTTCAGATGTTATATTTTAGAAAGCCTACCTCTTAAGCTGGGCCTTGTACATCTCATTTGCTTCTTGAGCTTCTGCAAGTTCATTTTCAAGATTCTGAATTTTTGACGAAAGATCGATGACTCCTGAAACTTGAGGAGTCTCATTATTGCAGTTTTGATTATTGTTAACCTGAAAAGAGAAGTGGAGTGAGAGAAAAATAAGATTAGACCGTTTTTGTGCGATTTATTACTTTCACTGTTATAGATAACCTTTGCAAAGAATTGATTGCCCAACCTAGAAGATTAGAATCAACTAACATAATTAAAAAAAAACTGTAGATAGAATAACCTGTGTGTGATTTTCATCCATATGCTGTAGTTGGTCCGTGTCAGTCGACAGCTTCTCAGTTGGTTGCTGGTTATTGTCATCTTCTATGTTATTCTAGATCAGGAGGAAAAAAACCAAGTGCATGTGAGAGAGAATTCTAAACAAGAAATGTATAAGACGGGTTCAAATAATTATATTGATGATAAACTACTAGGCTCGGAATTATGGTAACGAAGTGACTCACATTCTGGAACTTGCTTTGATCCTGATTTATGTGCTTCAGTTCTTCTTCTAGACCTTGAGCTTTCTTCAGGCACTCTTCTTTCTCCTCCTCAAGGTACTTTATCTTCCTCTGGAGTTGGTTATTTTCTCTTCTAAATTGGGCCAGCTCATTTTTAAGTGCAGCTTCCTGAGTTCCCAAGGCTTCTCTTGCAGTTAAATCACCCTGCAGCCGGAGGACCTTTTCTTCAAGGGCAACTTTCCTACGTTTCAAACCATCTAATTCGGAAACAGCTTGCTGACTGTTGGAGACTTTCTGGACTAAATGGGTTCTTTCAACTTTAAGTTCTTCATAGTCTCTGGATACCATTTGGAAAGAAGATTTGAGCCTTTCATTTTCAAACTTGGCCTCACTGATTGTTTTTTTAAGAGCTACAATTTCATCCTGAAGGAGCGCAGTTCTCTGCAACTGGACTTTAAGGCTGGAAATTTCTTCTGCCAACTGTTGATTCTCGTACTCAGAAGCTTTGAGTTTCAGTTCAAGCCCTCTAACAGTGCCTTTCAGTTTTTCTTCATTGGATTTGACTTCTTCCAACAAATCTAATATTTTTTCATGGTCAGCCATCAAAATTTCCTGTTTTTGCTTCGCAGCAGCTAACTCTTCCATAAGTCCCTGTGTCTCGGTTTCAGATTCCACCTGCAAGGCATTGAGTTTGCTCTCAGATATTTTAAGCTTCCCTTGAAGATCTTCTAGAGAAGCTTCAAGCATGACTTTATCTGCACGTAAATGAGAAACTTCAAGCACAGCTTCTGATGCTGTTTTCTCCTTTTCATCCTGGGTAGCAGATATCTGTTCAGTGAGGTAAGCAACCTCTCTTTGGAGGTTGTCAACTTCCATTGTCTTCTCCAAGTATTTCTGATTTAACTGGCTCTCTTCAAGAACAAGTTTTTCTTTCTGCCTCTTGTTCTCTTGAAGAAGTGCTTCTAGCTCGAAGTTAAGGGCTTTCTCTTTCGAGGCTATTTCTTCAAGCATCGAGGAATACTTTTCTTCCAGAGCTTCAACTTCGCTAGCCATGTTGGAAAAAACTTTTTCAGATTCCTTGAGTTCTGCTTCCAAAACTGAACAATGCTCATTTAACTCGGTCTTTTGCTTCCGTAACTCTCCGTTTGCTTTCTGAAGCATACTACATTCTTCAATAAGACTTTCAGTATTAGCTTGTAGTTTGGGGTTAGCAACTTTTAGATACTCACACTCTTCTTGAACTTCTAACCACCGCTTTTGCATCTCTTCCATCTTCTGTCTCATATCAGCCTTTTGTGCCTCCATTTCGTTTTCCAGTCTTTTTCTCTCTTCCTTAAATTCCATCGCTTGAGATTCTGAATTTTGTAGTTCCAGACGATGAGACTCTCTCTCCTCAGTCAGATACCTTAATTGTGCTTCCAAACCAGAGATCCGTTCCGATAACTGTAGATTTTCTTCTTCTAGTTCAGACAAATGAACTTCGAGTTCCTGTTTACCAATTTCAAGCTCTGTAGATTTCTTTACAAGAACTTGGTTGGCTGAAATCTGGGAATCCATATTGCTATTAAGCACCATCATTTCACTACGTAAATCTTCCAAGCATTTTTCAGTAACAGCAGCTTCTCTGAGCATGGTTTCTATGTTTTCCTCCAACTGGCTTTTCTCCTTCTCAACAAAAGAAACCTGAGCTTCTAACTCCTTTTGATGATGTCTTAAAGCCTCAAGCTCTTCGTCCTTTAGCAAATTGTCGGATTTAAGTTTCTCTATCTCAGATATCTTGTCTGACAACTCATTTCCTAGACCACTTGCCTCATTACCATATTCACCAATAGAACTTTGTCTGAACAATTGTTTTATCTGGAAAAAATTGTTCAAGATAATCTCAACTTGCTGTTTTTTACTTATCAAATCTTTCCTTTTTAAAATCTCTGAGTTGTCAGAAACAGTTCCATCAGGATTTGCATGTAAATTAAGAGCATACTGCCGCTTCAAGTCAGCTAAAGAGAGTTGAATCTGTTCATGTAACTCAGTAAGCAATGTAGAGACTTCAATGGCATCAGGTGATTCAGAAATACTGGGTTCTTCAAAGGAAAGAGTAGTAGGTTGCTCCTTACTCTCAATTTCTGTCTGCTGGTAATGCTGTAGTTGCTGTTGCAGTTCGTCGATTTCGATCTCCTGTTCTTCTGATCTGGAACGATATTTGGAGAGTTCATCATCAAGATAAGAAGCTTTGTCCTTGAAAGCTTCCAATTGCTGCTCTAGGTCAGCACATCTATTTCCAAGAACTACAGATTGAATCTGTAAATGGTCAGTAGAAGGTACTTCCGGTTCATGTCTAGAAAGAGAATTCTTTCCTGGATGATCAGGTGAAAGAGAATTCAAGATGGCACTATGATCTTTGCTTGATTCTTTGAGCTTAAAATGAAGATCCAGATTTTCATCAGTAAGCTCGTTGCAATCTCTCTCGAGTTCCTGCACCTTCAGTTTTAGATCTTCAATTTCTTTGATTACATCAGAATTATCTTCTTCTTCAGAACCCATTTTCTTTAAACCTTGGACATCAAGAGCTTCGGACAATTTCATTTCCAAGTTAACGATTTTTTGCTCCTTTTCAGCTAATTTGCCTTTCCATTCAGCTTCACAATCCATAAGTGATCGAATCCTTGAAGCTTGTTCGGTCTCCATTTCATTATTATTTTCTTCCAGAGTTTTCTCCAGAACCTGAATAGAGCTTTCCAATTTCCTATGTGATTCCTGCAGCAGCTGATATTGGACCTCTAGATTTCTGTTCTCTGCATGCAAATCTCCTTTTTGTTGTTCAACAAGATCACTTTCACCTAAGTCATCCTTTCGTGATTCTTCACATTCAGATCTTGCTGCAGAAAGGTTATCAATTTCTACTTTCTGATTTTCTATTGTTTCTTCCAGCTCCTGGAGAATGGAAACAAGCTCAATATTTGATTCTTGGGTTTTTTTCAACTGTGAGGCCAAATCAGCATTCTCCTCTCTCAGAAATCGTATCTCATCTTCCAACTCCTTTTGAACAGAACCAGTATTTTTATTCTGAAACTTCAAATTGTTTGCAGCAGCCTGTTTCATTTGTGACTCCTCCAGCAGGATCTTTACTTGTTTAACCTCCTGCTTCAAGCAATCACATTCTGCCCGGGATGTTGAAAGTGCGGCCTCAAGACTTTTTTGGTGGTTGGAAAGGTCGATAAATTCCTTCTGTGAATTTTCCAAATCTATCATCAACTTTCGAGCATTTTGTTCCCACATCCTAGCTTCTGCTCGAAGCTCCCCAATAGTAGTTTCTGCAGCTTCCAAGAGATCTTTAGATGAACCAGCATTACGTAGTGGAGAAGAGGGAACAAGACGTGAAGCTCGATTCACATCTTCTCTTTGGTTATGAGGATGACTTCCAGAACTGGAGACCTTCGGTGCACCAGAGGAGTGGCTTGACCTGGAAGTGTTGTTAAAAGAATACGGTCCACGTGGAGAACTAGTTTGAGAACCGGTTGAATCTTGTCTTCCAATTAGATTGCTTATAACCCCATTATGAGGGGAGAAATTTTCTCTAAAGGAACCATCCAAGGAGTCAAAGCTATTACGCGAGTCTGATGCTGACAAACTTGGTTCCTGAACAGAAACGAGAAGGTTTCATCAGCCTCAAAAAGGACAGTGCACGGGAAAATAATTGAAAATGCTTGTTATTCTGTCCAAGAGGAAAAGTTCAAGATTTCTTGTCTCATTCTTTGCAAACTACCAAGCCTACAACTAGTGTTTCTATAATTCGTGTACTTTTAGCTATATTGACTTCTTTTCCATAAGTTTGAGTTGACAACATAGAAGCCTGTATGCGTAAAATGTTTAGACTAACTTCACTACTACTTTCATAGCATGTGCTGCTACAGCCTACATCTTAATTTGCTGAAATAATCTCGTAGTCACCATGAAGTCTCAGGTGTAAATGCAAGCAATCTAGAAAAATGTGTAGAAAGTCAAGTTCTTAAACAATGAACAGACAATCTGTGTTGAAACATCTACAACAAAAGAAGCCTGGTCTTTAGATGAATTGAATATATACTTGATCTGTAAGTATATATATATATATAAATGTACGCATATATTTAGATGAATTGAAGTGTTTTAACTATATTCAGATAAAATTTTAGAACTAATTAAAAGAAACTCAATTGCAGAAATGACCAAAGGAAGTGTTAACATATCCGCAAAACAAAAAAATATATCAAGGAACCATACCCTGCTAGACAATTCTCCGGGAAGAAGGGTACCCTCTAGATGATTACTAGAAGAAGATCCAACACTCCTGGTAAATGTACCATCAGAAGCATCAGATTTGGTTTCCAAGTCATATTCCAGAGAAGCATCCTCCAAATATGACGAATCTGCATCTTTCCATTGCTCATCCCTTTAAAAGATACAATCAACATTTTTCACAATCATATATAAACAGAATCTCACAAAAGTGCGAAGTTTCATGCAAAATGGCAAACCTGCGTTTTTCTCTTGGTGTCAAGCACTGAATTTTAATCTGCAGACAATCATGAAGGATCACATTTTAACAATAGCATCAGAGAAAGGTTAATAATTGAGCTTCTTCTCCTAAACGAAAACATGTGATTGAGACAGGAAATAAATGTGAGGAAGACGAGGTCCTTGACCAGAAACCTTGGTTCGGATACCAAATTTCCAGAACTGTCAACAAATTTATCTGAATAAGCTTAAGTAGTATTGAATCAATTTCTACATGATAATTCCTCCCTCAAAAGTAACTTTACTTTAAGCAAAAACTAATTTTCTCTCCATGGATTCACTTTAAGAAGCACTGCTAACTTCTATCGTCCACCACTTAATATGGAATTGTAACATGTCTAATCTTTAAGCAATAAAATTACAATTAGGCAACAAAAATGACACGGTAGCTGCTAGCAATTCAAACTCACAAACTAGATTATCTTGTTCCATAGATTTAAAAGAGAATTCTTCTTTAAAATTAGGAAAAAGGTGTTTTTTAACTTTTATATGTCAGCAAAGAAGGGAAAAATACGACTGTTAGGCACTTGAAACAAGAATCAATTCTAGATCTCACCTGTAATAGTGTTCCATGATTACATTTCTTTAACGGTAATGAAAGAGGAATTGAACTTTTTGAACTTATGTAGTTTGCAAGGTTAACTGTTGCTTCTCCCAGGAAGCCGGATCTAGATGATCCCTACAATAAAATCAGTTTAAGTTGATTATTTATAACCCTGACATGAGTCAAATCCATATCAATAGATAAATCTTCATAAAATATTAAGGCAAAGTACCATACCATGGAAACAACAAGCTTATATAAGCATTCATCAATCACTTTCGAAGTATCACCTACTGCAATCCAAATAGACTCCGAGAAACTCTCTGTCCATCGACAATTTCCATTCCGCACTGATGCTTTGCCCGACTTGTTTACAGTTTTGCCAGTATCCACAGAAACAATAGACACAAAAAGCTTGTCCCATCCTTTTGGAACCTTCAAGAATTCAATAATTCAAAATTGTATCAAGAATCACCCAAGTACAACTAGCAACCTAACTAGACAACAACAAGCATCTAAAAGTTTCAAAATAAATCAAGCAACTAAAATTCTGGCCTGAAAAATAAAATTGAACATGTTAAAAAAGGAAACCTAAATTCAATCAAAACGTTTCCTCTGTAACTTGCTTTTATACTCTTAGCTTATAGGTTCCTTAAAATTTGTTAGACATGAAAGGCAAATTGAAAAAACATATATACTAAATTTTCAAAAAAAAAATGAATATTATCGAAACTAACCCCCGAGTTCAAATAGCGTAGTGTGTGTCAGTGTATATATCTTAAAAAATAAGCATGCACGAAATAAATCAAATAATGCCCAAACAGGGCCTAATATAATAAAATCAAATTTTTGTTCTCACATTTTATTATTTTATCTTTTTATTAAGAATCAAATAATCGTGATTAAATCACAATTTATCATGAATATAATTTAAGGAAAAAATCCTCAACTTAAATCCAAAAATTCCACGAATATCTGTATGATGGTTTCAACTACAATTTCAGGTTCATAATCGGTTAGTATTTTACAGGCTCAATTTTAGAGCGCAGCTCCAAATGAAGTCAATGAACAAAATGCAAAACATTATAGAAGTCAAAACCGAAGCGTCAACAGATCTGACTAAAAGAGAATCTAAACAAAAAATGTAGCCGTTCTTACTGCCTACCACAGATCTTCACAAATTGAAATTATAATTAAATCGCATAAAATTTCATACATAATTATTAAAAAAAGTCTATAATTAGTAACTTTCCACAAACTCACTCAGAAATGAAATAATACAAATAAAAAAGGCATCGCTCAACCACGAAAAAGGAAACTTAAATCTGAAGCGACATGAAAGTGAAAACGTAGATTTGAAAAAGGAGACTAAAGGAGCAAAACGAAAAATGCTTAAAGTTCAGTTTGCCGATGTATCAGAGGATTCAATTTCAACATTACAATGAAGTTATAATTCAGAATCTGAATAAAATGAAGAAAATCCAGAGAAAATTAAAAAGATCTCAGAATGAAAAAGGAGATACCTGAAGAGCTTGTAAGCTAGAGAACTTGAAATCGAATCTCTCACCAGATTTATCAGATTTCTGCTTGTGCAATCTGAACATATTTTTGTTCTTTTTTGCTCAGGTTTTATTGTCTCTTTCAGGTTTCCCAGCTTATTTATGGAAAAATTCTTGCTTGGCGTTGAAGAAAATTTAGCAAAAAAATCGGAAAAAATGAAGAAGAAGAAGAAGAAGATCAAGAAAACAGCTTCAGTTTTTCACATGGCCTTAAATACTGAAAGAGGGGCCTTAGCTGTGATTTTGTTTTGAAGTATGTATGAACTGAGATGTTTCCTTTCAAGCATTATTTATTCGTTTTGGTTTTGGTTTTAATTTTATTTTTTATGGTTTATTTCTCATATTAGTCCCTCTAACTTTTACAATTCACTTTAGGTAGAAATGCATATGAGGTCCTGTACTTTTGAAAAAAATCAATGTGACATTCCTATTATTTTTCTCTAAATGTGGCCTTCTAACTCGGAAAATAAATCTAATGTGGCCCTTTGTCCAATTTTTTTTCGTCGTTGACCGTTATAATGTTGATTTAACAGTCATGATGTTAATGTGACAGTCCATGGTATCAAATTAACGTGGCTGATGACATGTGACTAAATTAATAGCTTAAACATGGAAGATAGACTGTTACATCAGTATCGCAAACCACCACGCCAGCACCGTGAACTGGTATACCAATACTATAACGATCGACGATAAAAAATATTAGTTAAAGGGTCATATTAAATTTATTTTTTAAATTAAAGAATAACATTAAAACAAATATGAGAATTACATTATTTTTTATCCAAAAGTACATACTTCTATACCTTTTTGCCTTCATTTTAATATCTTTCTACTCTTGTATTCCATTTGGCATTTTGTAGTTTGTCCGACTGCTCGCTTTTCACTTTTTTTATTCCGTTATTTCCCTCGATTTTAGATCACAAACTCTGACAATCTTAAATAATATTTTGAAATATTTATATGATGATACAGTAAATAATCGTTGAGAATTGGTTGGATCCAAATGTTAACTATTTTTATACACATAAAGAAATTTAAATTATTTATATATTGAATTAGAGTGAATGAAAATGTTTTATATAAATATATTTTTATAGAAAAAATATTAACAAATGTATGTGAAAGTAACAAAGGATTTAATCTAAATCTAACAATTATGTATTAGATCATTAAATGAAGAGTTTTTAATTATTATATTTTAAGATTATATGAAAATATACAAAAAATACAGTTTTAATAGTATTTATTATTCTTAAAAAATTATAATACATTTTTAATTAAACTAATATTCGACTAATTCGTGACTCAAAAATTAATATATACTATAAATTAGCATATCTTGAATTGTCTGTCCAGCTCAGTTGGTAGAGCACAAGGCTCTTAACTTTGGGGTCGTGGGATCTAGTCTCACGGTGAACAATTCATAATTTGGAGGTCTTCCACGGAAGCTGCTCTCAATCTGGTGTTGGGGGCAGCTTACTATCCTACTTCCCCTTACCCCAATATGCATATGCATATACATATGCATATGGTATATGTATATGTATATGTATATGTATATGTATATGGATTAAAGATTACCAATAGGGTTAGTTTAAGTGGTAAGCATCTTGATTCCGTTTAAGCAAGTTTCGAGTTCGAGTCATTGTGAATGTAGAAAATTTCCGCTAGAAAACTAACCCACTAAAATTAGATATGCGACCCGAGTTGATCCACATTAGATAAGGTGAAGCCTTGGGAACCAGGTGAACAAAAAAATACATGTATTAAAGATTAATTTTGAGATTTATGTTTGTATTTCATTTGCACGTAAATATCGTACCACATCTATAGAGGTATGATAACATTTATTATTAAATATTTAAGAATCTTTCGAATAAATATTATTTTATATTCATTTCGAATTATTTAAATTTTCATGTAAATATTAGTTAAATTAGAGGGTTTTTTTGTCATTCAAAACATCATAACGACTTTAGCACTATCTGCAGCTTCAAAATGCATTAGATTCACGATAGAGTTTGATAGTGACTCAAATATCTTTTCTATTTTAGTCAGATAATCAATCACAATATTCACATTCTATTTGATATATTATATCGTTATCTCCCAAAAATGTACTAAAACTCTTTTTATTTTAAGGGTAAAGTACAAAAATATCCACGACTATAAGATAATATTTTATTAAGTTATTTGACTATTAAATGTTATAAAATGGTCCATCGATTATTAAAAGTTATAAAATGGTCACTCAACTATTCATTAGGTTTAAATTCTTCATTTTCCACTGAATTTTATGACATTTTGAGCTGTGTGTTAACCAACTGATTGAGATATGATAAAATCTGATCTCATAATCTCAAATGACTACCATATCTCGGTCAACATATTAACGTCAAACTCAGACAATTGTTAAATTTTCAACGAAAAATGACAAAATGACGAGTTCGGAACATAATGAATAGTCGAGTGACTATTTTGTAACATTTAACAGTAAAGGGACTCAATAAAACATTATCCTATAATCAGGGACCATCTGTATATTTTACCCTCATCTTTAGTATTGCTTTTAATAATTTCATCATGCATTGAACTGAGTTCATTAATGAATTAAATGGGAGTTAGATTTAATATTTAATAAATTCATGAACTTTAATAAGTACCAAATTTATTAAGATATTTTTGCTCCAAGTGGTTAAAATCTTGAAACTTTTTTTAACGTTTTTCAACCGCATGCTTTTATGCCTAACACCCTTTTCCATTAAGATATACCTAAAAACTAGCATTATCATATAAATTATAATAGAATAAAACTAACATATTGTATTTTAAAATATATCCAAAATTATCTTTAGTGTATATATATATAGAAATAAGAAAGTCGAAAAAGTTAGGTACCCAATTGCACAAAATTAATTTTTATTATGAATTATTTTGAGATTATAAAGGATCCAATCAATTAATTTATATTTGATATAATGTTTTTATTAAATTGAAAATTAATTTATTAATATATGTTAAGTTTTTTTTATATCATCTTGGGTCAATATTATTTAAAAAATATGTCATGTTTAGGTATGTAAAAATAGAAAACCCACCTTCCCATCTTGATTTTACTGAAATTCAAACAACCCCATGTGGACGGTTCAACAAACTTATTATCTATCCATACCTATATCAAATTTTGATGTAAAGTATATTTTAGTCCTTAGATTTGAGGAAAAATCAATTTACTTTCCAAACTTTCGTCTAAATTATTTTTTTTATTAAAATTATCAACACTAAAAATATACCACATGAAATGGTATTAGAGTGTATTTCATCAAAAAGATTAAAAATATAAAAAAAATTAGTTATTTTTTATGAATTTATAATTTATTTTTTAGATTTTTTTATTAATCTGAGATAGTAAAGGTAGTATATGTTTAAATATATTTAATTAAAAGTCCACACCCTAATATCTCTAGTGCTTGAATTCGGGACTTCAAAGAATAATAACAATTATTTTACCGTCGGAATTGCTTGATTCACACTTGTTTTTGGAAAATATAAATGTATTGTTTTTATGTATATTTAAATTTTAGAGATAACATTACTATAGAAAATAATTTCGAACATAAATGATAAATTGTTAAACCTATGCGAAAGATAAAAAAAAATTAATTAATTATTTAATAGAATAGTTGCTTGGGAATAAAACATAATCATTGTACTTTGTGACCAAATCAAGTCCATCAATATACGTTAAAATATTGAATAAAAATTTAAAGAAAATGATCCTTCAATTATTTTTCCGTTATCAAAGATATTATTACTCTCAACCCTAAGGTGAAAAAGAATCCTTTATATTATTCTTCATAGACAGTATTGAAAAACATAATTACTTTTATAATAATATTTAAACTTAATTAAAAAATAATTGTCTAAACTTTTTTTTGATTCATAAAGATACCTAATGTTATAAATATTACTACTTTAAGTATCTCGATCGTAACTATCGTTGAAAAACACTATTAAATGATATGTGTCATAATATGATAAATTTAAAAAAGTTATTTAAAAAAATCTTTTAAAAATTTTATTTTTTAAAAACCATGATTTTTCTAAAATATAAAAAATACCCCAAATTCCTTAAATCTCTAATTTAACCCTAAAAAAATTAAAAAAAAAAGTGGGTTAAAAAACATTAAAATATCAATTTTTAGCGATGGCCACCGTTACAAGAGTTTTTTCCATTTATTTTCTTTTATCATACATTTATTTTTTTTTATATTTTTTAGTTTTAATAATCATGCATTTTGATACGTTTTTTTTTGTCTTTATGGTATTTTTTGTTGTTTAATCGTTATTTTCATTTATCTTTTTCAGGGTTGAATTTGATATCGTCACGATTGATCAAGATGACGTTTATTTGTTATCGTATTGATATTCCCTACTTTAGACCTTCAAATTGAATTTGGATACGCGGTTTGTGTTCATGGATAGTTTTCTCATCTCACTTAACTCTGATTTACGATTTTTCGATGGTCATTCAGTAGCATAATCTCCTTTTGTGGCTCATTTGTTGATGCATGTCAGATATGTTCGTATTTGTAACAACCTTAGACTGATAAGGGTGCTCCGATCTGATCTGAGGTGTCACATTAGGGTCGCCGAAGTGACCCACTTTGAAAGCCAGAGAAAAACTAAACTTTAACCAATAAAATTTGAAAATCGTGGAACAATCTCAATATAAATAATAATACAATTTCAAAATTTGGTCACATATTAAAACATAATTCAGTAATACATAAATATTAAAATAAGTTTCAGACACTGATATGAAAACAAATGTGACCTACATGCCACCTATTTATATGGGTATTGTACTCTGCAAGCAATGCCCAAAGAACTACCACACTGATATCGATACTACATAGAATCAATTCTTTTAACCTGAAAGGGTAAGTATCAGAGTGAGCTTTGGGAAGCTCAATAATACAAAACTAGTAGATAGTGTTAAAGGGTATGCATATATATGGTAAAGCATAAAAGTTTCTTATTGATTCAGGTAGCTACAGGTTTTTGTGACGAGCTAAGATATATTTAATTAATTCTTCGGGTAATAGATGAGAAACCTACAGTCCAGAGGAAACATTCAGAGAAACAGATTCAAGAGATCGAAAATGGGAGTAGTTTTCATATAGGTAATAGTAGTAGTTTATTTTATGAAAATAAATTTTTAAAACACTATAATA